CTTCCACGGACCATGGACCAGTGGGCGGGACCGGAAGTGGTTTTGCGACGAAATGCATGGTAGGTACGGATCCACGTTCATGGGAAGGTTTGAAGTGAATCCTGTTCACGTTCGTGCGTTCGACACGTGGATCCGTACCTACCATGCATTTCGTCACAAAAACTTCCGGTCCCGCCCACTGGTCCATGGTCCGTGGAAGATTCCTTTTTTCATTTAAGTGTCTATATCGTTTTCTCCACTTTGGTATTACTGCGTAGATTCCGCAGCAGCTATCCTTCACGGGTGGAATCCTTGTCATTACAGGAACTCCGTGCCCTGCAGGTCCTGTACACGTGAGGGAGCGTAAAACTTCGACTTGGACACTCGTATCCCCTAAAGCATTAGCAAACTAATGCATGTCCGTGTAAAATTTTGGGTAGAGAAGAAATGCCTGGCGTATTCCAAATGGATTTTTCTGCTGAAAATCTTCCTCAAATGTAGGCTCCTGCACAAGCAGGGTCAACCGTCCGTTCGAACAGTTCGAACGGGGGGGGGTCGCATTTGGGCTCTGGGAGGGAAAAGGGGGTCGCATTGCGCGCTTCGGTCATCAGGTAGGGCAGAGGGTGTGTGAAAAAAGTTGCCGTTTCAGTGGTTGTATATACCCCCCCGCTCGACGGCTATTTTTGGGGAAAAAGTAAAGTAGGCGGAGTTTCGAGAGTTTTAGGTAAGTTTTGGGCTGTGTCGACTGGTCTCAGAGTCAAATATTATAGAAGAGGGAGAGGTCGCGGTGGGGGATGGCTGGTTGTATTGGGGGGTCGCAAATGTGTATTGGTGGGTTCTATTTCCCCCCCCCCCCGCCCTGCCCCTAATACTGGACCCCTTCAGAGGGGGTGTGTTGGGGGTCCGCTAATAAAACCTGAATATGTTCGATACGTGTGGAGCGGTTTGACGCCTGCTCTACTAAGTTTTCTTGTTCTCAGCATTCATTTGATGCCTTGTTTTGCGAGGACGCTTTCAGGCGAAAGCAACTGATATCTTATTATTGATGCAAATCTAATTTTGTGTGTGCATTCAGTTCTCCTCTGCTATCTTCAATGAATTGGTTAGTGCATAGATGGGCATCTTTATTATTATGTATATCAGTAAGTATGGTGTTTACTATTCCTTCTTTGGTGTTTTAATAAATGATCTCTGAAAGCACGTCTCAATTCACGAATACAATGTAATTGCAAAGCCTACAACCGTCTTTACAGATGCCTTTTTTCTTCACAGCGCCGCTGTGAGTGCCGCTTGAGGGTTTTTTTTTCTGACTATACGAAGTTATTACGTATTGGACGGCCTTCAAAATTTAATCCTCCCTGACAATTCTGTTACCAACAATTCGGCCCACGGGAATGGAAGGGCCTAAGCGAAAATTTGGAGAAAGCATGGGAGTTGAAGCGACACCATCTGAGGCTGCTTCATCTTCGCTAACCAGAAGCATTCATTTTTCACAGAGCTCATCACTATTCTCGCGAAAAAGCGAGGAAAAGAGGAGTACCACAGCCTAATTTTCAAGATACTTTCCAAAAGCCTAATTTCAAGATACTTTCCAAATCTTGAGTCGAGTCTTCAAATATTGAAAACCCTATTTTCAACTTGGGACAACAAGTGGTTGACTCTGAACCCAGGTCCTACCATTCCGGTTTTCAAATTTCGTCTATCACAACGTCACACCCTCGCCACTACCATCACCTTCGGGAGAGCATAAACAAATTCTCCCTCACCCAACCCATTGGTCATCCTCCATCACCATGGCTGTCTCGCAAGTAAGCTTTTCATTTTGAGAACCAGCCTTTTCCCTTTGAAATTGGTCGATCGAAGTCGAGCGGAGTGGCGGAGAGGGGGGGGGGGGGTGGCAGCGAGGAAGGGATAATCGGTATAGTCTACTGAAGCGTGCAACCCACTTTTCAAACATTGACACAAAAATTAAAGTAGCGACTTCTCCCCGTCTTATTGTAGCTTGGTACAACAGGCTGATAGGTCGAACTTGCCTGAACCTCCCTAGAATACGTGTTACATGAGCACCAGTTTTCATTCACAGTCTTTTGGACTGGATTTCCTTCAGAAAAAAATCAGGTTTCCAAGAAAAAAAAGTTTGTTTGAAACAAAAACATTCGATTTAAAAAAGCATTTGAGGCGGGTTGAAGGGGGGGGGGGAAGAATATAGAAGCAGTTTGACCCGTTTCGCACGTACCTTTAAAGGCAAAGTTCGGGCTCAGACTCCACCTAATGAGCCCTTAAAGTGGCTAGAAGCGCATGGGACGCAACTGCAGGCGACTCGCCAAGTTCCCGCATCGAAATGCGTCACTAAGGCGCTAGGGGCCAAGGACTTTGACACGCTCCACCTGTTGCGACACGCTCCGCCCACCGCTCGATATTTTGTCTGCGTCGCAATGCTGATCTGCTATGCTCTCTCTTCTCGGATTTCTCTACCGCTCTCCGCGCTCACATTATCTCTCATCTCCCTGCCGGCCTTTTGAACTTCTCCGCAACGTAGAGCAAAAGGCTCGTATTTCCTGTGTATTTCACGAATTTTTTTCCTCTTTTCTCCACTGGTGGTCCACCTCCCGCCCCTACATCACATTTGAGTAGAATTACCTCATCAGTTTAAGCTCGAATCTTGCCTTTAAACGAGGCCAAAATGGCAAAATGTCCTCCCTCCGTGCTCGTGAAGTGCTCAAATTGGAGTGTCGTTGGGTGATGCCTATTTCGTTTTTCGTTTTATGGCCTCGGAAAAGGGTCAACCGCGCGTTGGGCGGTCAGCAATTTTTACAACCCCACTCCTTTATCGTAGGTTTCGAATATGGACGCCCTCACCGCCAAACCAAATTAAATCCTCCTGCTTTTTACTACTTCTTAGCTTTTCATAGAGTTTTTCTGCAGAACCTACCAAACTCACCTTCCTCTACTAACGACCAACAACCCTTCAACTTCCACCAATACGACTCCCTTTGTTCACCTTTTCACCCTCAACAACCCAAAATACGCCACCCCCTCAGAAAACCCTAGTACGACTTCCCTAGTTGAGAGCTGCGTAACGCACGATTGAATTTGCTCGGGAAGCAGATGATAAGTTTTTGATGAAAAGTTTCAGGCCAGAGTTTACTGCTTGTTCCTAAAAATCCAATCCTTTCGCGAATTTGAGCGCTGATTCATATTCGTAATTGTGAACAATTTCGATGTAGCCGAGGCTGTGCTGTTAAATGAAGTGTGTTGTGCTCAGTCATTTACTCATAAGCAATCCAATATCAGTAAACAACGAGTCAGCAGTAAACGCAGCCTGAGAGCTGAATATGTTATGAGATTGTCTATAGTTATTTGATTAACTCCTAACTTTGTCTTGTGATTCTTTTTTAGAACCACTTTTAAAAGATATTCGAATGGTCTTCTTGTCGTTCTTCTTTGTTTCTCTCCCTCACTTCTCCTTTTTTTCCTTTTTTTCATCAGAAGACGGCCTAGCGCCATATTTTCTAAGATCTCAAGTCCCTTATCATTATGCTTTGTTTTCTCTACGGGTGGCATTTGCATACAAGTTTGACTAGTGTCCAGGATGATCAAAAGTTTAATATAAGAAGAAAGCGTGAAGGTGTTACCAAAGAAAGGGAGGCGTGGCTTGCTTGCAGTGGGCGTGTGCTAAGATCCTTTTGTAGACGGTACTCGTAAGTGACGTATCAAGGATAATTTCGTTGTGCAAATTTTCATGTGATTGCATCACATCTACGTAACCATTTCCAATTCCATTTCCATTTTTGTAAGTCATTTTAAAAGATTGTTCAGACTAGAGAAAGATAATAGGGGCACGGGACAAAAAAAGGCCCGTCAATCCGAGAGAGACGGCGCACATCGAACAACGTTGGCGAACTCGTCCATTAGAGGGCGGGTTTATCAGAAAAGACGGAGCTGCCAGCGTTCGAGGCATGACAACATCGTTCTCTATGCAGCCTTTTGTAATATTGATGACACACATCTTTAGCAGTTGAGCACCTTTTTAGTTGCTCGACCATCTCGTGGAATGTACCAAGCAACTCATTTCTAAGGAATTTGGCTGCATCGATTTTGTAGCATAATGCTTGATGGCATTGGCTGGAGGGCGGAATGGTTTCGATGACGTCATCGGGCATCATTGGTGGAAGAACGGGCTCTCAACACATCTAAACAAGGTTAACCATCCGTTGGACGAAGTCCAACGAGAGGGGTCGTATTTGGCCGACCGAAAAAGTAGGGGGGTCGTATTCGCAAAGGTCAGCGTCGCAATGAGGAGGGGCATAGCTTTCGAGTGCTCCTCCAACTATTAACCACAAACGAGTGCATGGCGCACCTCAGAGCAGAAGAGTTTACTGCAGAAGTGTCCATATTTGACTGTTAACGTACACAACAAATATGCTCTCGAAGAGAACGCATTGTCTTGAAACTGGATCTAAGTTAGTAAAACAGTGACCACTTGGGTAGACTGACTGCTAAAGGCTTGACAAGCAAAGTTTAGGGGAGATGTTTGCCTGTCGCCGACTTCCTGAGAAGAGTTCGATATCTGGTGTGAAGCACAAAACCTGTGCCATGTGCCATGTCATGGTTCATTATTCCCCATAGGATTGAGTTCGAAGAGAGTGTTTAGGCGTTGAAAACTAGTGTTTTCAGGAGAGTAGCTCCGAAAATTCATGAAAAAAAAACGGTCCAACCGGGACAACTTTTTTTTGAACGGCCCATGTGAAAACTAGTTCGAATCTTCACTTAGGGAGCCACTTAACCCTCTAGGAAGTTACAACAGCTTAGTACAACGCGCTCCTGTCGGAAAACAGTCTCTACGAATTCCCCAAAACGGTCCAACGGGACGATTTTTCAAAAAAAAAATGAAACTTTACAAAAGCTTGGGTAATTGTTAGAGAGAAAACAATCTGAGGGGGTCGTGAAATTCTTGAAATTGGTCCAACGTGAACGGTTTTGACACCATGCATTTTAAAGGCGTTGCTGGGTCAACTCACCACATGGACGTTATCCAAACGCTCGACTCCCAGGCCATCCGTGTTCACCTGGCTTTGTATCCACGGCTGAATCTCGAAACGGCCGCCTACGACGGACCTGCTAACCTTACCGGCTGCAGCGGATCGGTTTTCTTTTATCTACATTCTGAATTATTCCTACAGTGTACATTTTCAAGCTGTTGAAGAGTAGGGGCAGGACTGCGAAGGTCGGTGCCCCTGTAGTGTATGACCTTGAGTGCGCAAGGATTCTGCAATTTATCTCTTATGGTTAGGAGGAAGTGTAAGACGCACATGAGCCGCGTTCCATAGCATAATCAAACACTAATGAGCCATACAGCATGACCAGGATACTCAAAACCTAATGATCAAGCACGATGTCTGACATCGCGCGCTGCCCTTTTAGTCTTTGGAGTGAAAATGACTTTCGGCGAATGATTCATCCAGCAATGGAGGCTATAGAACAAAAATATTCAATGGTTGCTCCTCTAGTTGTTCCCCCATAAGAAATTAGGCTTAAATTCATCCTTGTCTAGTAACCTGTTGCTTCACGTGACGCATGCCTGCGAGGTGCCAATATAGTGCGATTTTTTCACTTTACCCAATGCCCTTCCAGAGACCTACGTGAATTTCGTATACGCATGCTTCGAACTTGTTGAGAACAGCTCACGAACTTGAAAAAAAATAAGTAAAAAATCACAACCCACATCGTACAGCTGACGTGTTTCCCCACGAATTCTCTTAAACGACTTCCCATAGCTTAACCCTGAAGTTGAAAAAATCGCTTTGGATTTAGTAGCATAATGGGTTTTTGCTAATATCACGACTACGAAAAGCTGACGGAGATTTTTCAGCCGCGCAAGTCCCGCCCAAATCCGCACCGCACACCTTGAAGGTGGTTTCACACTGATGTCTGCGCCTCTTTGGTCTCCTATCAGCTATCTCGTAGTTGTAATCACAGACTTAAAGGAGGAATTCACGATAAGAACGAAGGTCAAAGAAGGGGAAAATTGCATAGTTGGGAGACAGGCGGACCTCCTGAGGGTGCTGACCGACGCGCAATTGGCAGCGAAAGATTTGACCTCGGCGATCTAGCATGGCTCACTCTTGGCGCGGTTGGCGGGGTACGCCCACCGACTATCTAATCACTCGCCGCAGGTCTATACGTGGCGAGTGATTAGATAGCAGAGAGAGCGTAGTGTTGAAGAGGGCACAGCGATGAGAGTCGCATCAATGCGCAATTTCTCGGGTTTCGAGCCGTTTCAAATGGTTTCTTCTTCATCCCTGCTCCACTGACCACCTCTACCCTTATTTCCAATGAGCTACTTTTCATCGTAAATTCTGCTTTAATAATGACGGGGCATCAGATAGCATCAAGAGCATCAAAGAGTACGAGCATCGTGACAACATTTGCAATTAAAACTGTAAGCAACTCCCATCAAACCTATTGTGTGTCGCATCGTAAGCTGACTATGGACGCACATTTGGGGTCAATCGTCCGTTGCTCCGAGTTCATAATTTTCACGACTCCCTATCTAAGGTGGTCTCAGCGCCCACCCCTTCCCCCCCCCCACCACTCCTGCGGTCGGTTGTAGCAAGGTCCGACCGAGGATAGGTCCCCAAAACTCTGCACTTCTGACCGCATCCACCTTTCTTGACCGTGAGGACTGCGTCGACTAGAGACGCAGAGTTTTGGGGCTCATTCCCAGCCGGGGCATGCTGCAGCCGGCTGCTGGGGTATCCCTTCATACGACTCTTCCCCAACACCACCTCCACCAACACTCTCACTATCACGCCCGTTATGATTGTCCCTAAGCTATTTAATTCTGGTACTAACAATAAGTGACACCTTCCCACTCTTCCCAATTCTTTTTACGAAACTGCCGTAGTAGGGATTTATCTCTTGAAGGGCAAATACTGCATGATTTCCCCCATTGCATGCACTTGTACTCAAAATTTTCAAAAACTTCAACCCGATTCCTGAAAGCAGCCCACTCTACTACTCATGGCCATGACCCTCCACACCCCCTCCCCACCGCAGTCAGAATACGATCCCATTCCAGGAAAGAAGTACCCCTCTCAGATTGAACTTGGCACAGCGGACGGTTAATTCTGCGCTAAGCTTCTTTACTAGCAATTCAGCTCTTTACCAAAGCCTTTCCAGCGGAATACTCAGGTAGAAGCACCTGAATGGAGCATCAATAATGGGAGCATTCAAAAAGGGCGGAAGTGGTGTAGTGGCAAGTGGCACGCTTACCACGCGAGCGGTCCGGGGATCAAATCCTGGGTCGTGAGTCGCCCGGGCCAACCAGGCATTCAATCCCTCCGGGTTCGG